AGCCCGTGGACCCAGGCGCACCAGGCTGGAAACCCTCTTCGCTCCAGATCAGACTTTTAAAACCTGGAGGGAACCATGGAGCAACTAGCAAATGCTCTGATTTTGCACACGAGGAAGCTGAGGCCCAGACAAGTGACGAGTCTTGCACAAAGTCACACTTTGGGACAAAACTGTATAGAACAGGCTTTGATTCTCTGTAGCCAGCTATCCAGGCCATCGAGCTGGGGGGCGGATGCTCTGTGGCCCCTGGATTCCCAGGGCCCCTTTCTTTAGCCAAACTCTCTGGTACCCAGTCCCCAGGGACCCATCCTGACGTCGGTGTGAACTCCCTGGGCGGGGGGGTGGGGGGGTGGAGGCGCAAGGCCCCTGGCCTTACTAAGTTTCCAACTAGAGCCCTGGAAGGTTTCCCCAAAGCAGTAACACACTTTTCTCAACAAGCACTCACCCCAAGCTAGTCTAGGCCCCTGACAGAATTCAGTTTCTCTTACTGGTGTGGTTTTCCTCACAGGCACAGCCAGGTTGGGCCCACAAAAGCCCGAGCTCGGGGTTTGGGGGGAGAAGGAGTTGCTTTGCTACATGGAAAGATTAAGCCCTTTGTCAGAGAACAAGGTCCCACCATCAGGCATGCCAACAGCCGAAGCCGCCTTTGTGCAGCTGCACCGGCAGAGTTGGTGCCCAGGGAGACCAAGTTGCTCTCTTTGGCATCACCGACATTGCTCTGAGATGCTCAGGCACTCTCAAAATCAGCCTTTCCCAGCCAGACCGGGCCCTGCCAGCTGCCACCAGGCCTCCCCTGACTGGGCGGGGCTCCCCTGCCTTCAGTTGTGAGTGTTTGGTTTTGCCCCATCCTCTTCTGACCTGAGTGAAAAGCAGACTTGAGGAAGAAGACAGGAGAAGAATCTATACGCCCATCTCCTCCCTCTTCGTTCGATGAAAGAGAATCCAGTACAGGAAGCAGCATGTTCACGAGCCTCTTTCCGTGTCAGGATCGGGGAGGAGAAAACGTCCGGGACTGGAGCATAAAGGGAGGAGGCAGCAGGGAGCAGGCCTCTTTTTCTCCATCTCCTTGCAGACGCCCGCCCGCCCGCAGAAATGCTGCGGGGCCCACCTGGGCCTGAGCGGTGCACCCTCTCCCTCCAGCCAGGTGGGGGGGGCGCCTCGTCCCCACCATCAAGCAAAGGCAGCCGTTTCTTGCACAGAGTTTGCACAGTGCAGGAAGCAATCAGAGACCCAGAAGAGCGGCCTTCCTGAAGCTCTGCTGCTTTCTGGGCCGAGGAGGATAGGGAATCGGAGGCATCGGGGAGCCCCCGAGCCCCCACGGGGGAGGAGCTCAGCAGCCCCCCCCGGGCAGCAGGGTGTGGAGCGAGAACCCTGGTTGCACGTCAGGGTTCCTGGTCACGCAGTCGAAGATTGTGCTACATTTCGTTTCCAGAGACGTACCCTTGGAGGTCTCTATTGTCTCTGGGGGGGGGGAGGGGGCTGTTCTCCTCAAGGCTGGCAGTAAAGAAGAGCTTGGGCATGCTTGCCCTGGTAGGGGTCACTCCCCTGGGAGAACTGGCGATCCCACGAGTGAGGAGCTACCCAGGTGCCCTCTTTCTGGAGCCCCTGGGCTCTGCCTTACCCCGCCCCTGGGATGCCAGCATGCCAGGAGAGCCTCCTAAGCCCTCCGCTCCTTTCCTGGGAGAACTGGGAGGTGGAAGAGATGGGATGGGGAGGAGTTTCGGAGCTGGTTCTTCCCTGAAAGATCAAATCCCCCTTGTCAAACCCAGACGTGGCCCCATTTACTGGAGCCTGATTCATACCAAAGGCCCTCAGACGTCCCTGTAGGGATGGAGTCTATGAAGGAAGTGGGACACGTTGAACAGAGCAGAAACGTGAAGACAGATGCTCTGAATCATCCGTCACGGTTCCTGCCCACAGCCCAGCATTGCTGCAGGGCCACCCCCATCTCTGCCGCATCCTCCACGAACCTGTCAGAGCAGAGGAAGGGGATGACAAAGAGCCCCGTCCTGTCCTCAGCTCTGGGTCTCACCTGGGGGAAGCAGGCCTGCAGAGCCAGGGTGTGGTACCTGGCAGTGCGTCGGTCCCAGGTTAGGGAGCACTCCGGGGGAGAGCGTGTTGCCTCCTCCCCCCACCATCCCCTCTTCAAAGATGCTCCCCACCCCAGGGAAGGCCAGGCGGCACACTGTGGCCCCTCCTCTCCTGGGACAGGCTAGCTCCCCAACAGCTTCTCAGACAAGCCCCTGTATCGAGGAGGATGAGAAACAGACCCTGAAACCCAGCCATTCACCATCACACACGCGTCAGCCTCAAGTGAACTCACCATCATGGGGGGAAATCCAGATGCGGATTGGTAACTGATTTGGTACAAAGTGTTGAAGAGGGTAATTCCCTAAGGTCAACCTGGGGAGAATTACTTCCCATTAAAGAGGTGGGATAAGAGCGGCCCAGCTCCTGGGCAGTTTTGGCGGCTAGGGCCCGGAGGCAAGTCAGCGCCAGTTACCCACAGGTCGGGCCCCAGCTCTGGCTAGGCCTTCTGCTGTGCTAACCTGCCCCCAGAGGCAAGGGGACCGTGGCCTATAGCCACCCAGAGGCAGGCTCTCTGCTGGCAGCCCTCCACCTTCCCTGTCTTCCCAGGCCCCTCAAGCAATGAGGGTGCTGTCCCTCCCTGATATCTCCCATCCCCCTGGGTCTCGGTAGCACCACTCGGGGCTACATCAGCAAATGTCTACGCCATCCTAGGAGTCATTACTAATCCCGCCGTTCCAAAAGTTAGAGTATGTTCACGCCATCCTGAGGGTGACCGTTCGGGAGAGGTGAATACAGCACAGACAGGACATAAAATACCCTTTTGTGAGCGAGTTTCGTCCCTCTCCCCACCCTAGGGTCAAAGAGTACACTGAGCCCTTTGCCTTATTTTTAGAAACATGAGAAATGCGCGCATTATCCAATCCCAACAACGGGAGAGAATTTCTGCCTAAAGAGAAAACTCGACCCAGCTGCCTCCTCCCTCTCCCGACGCCCACAACCGTCCTCATCTGTGATAAGACAAGATTGGAGGCTTTGGCAAGAGCCAGGAGCCCATTTGGTTCATTTCTTACTGCCCTTACCCACTTTCCATCTGTGGGCAGGACCAGTAGGGTTTTCCTGGGAGGGAGGTTACCAGGTTCTGGCTTCAACCTGATGTGGGTCCCTACCAGGAACGGAGGCCCTTTGTCTCCTGACAGCTGCCTCCTCCACCTGCCCTCAGAATCCACCTCTATGCCCATCTGTCTGGCTTTGGTTATGAATGGAGTCCAAGCGCTCCGGCCCCGAGACCGCTCCACTGCTCGGCTGGGTAGCTCCCCTCCACCTTGAGCATGTGGGTCAGAGTCATGCAGCACTTGGGGCTGACGTCTGGGGAAGAGGCAGAGGGACGGTCTTCTCCATACCTTGACCCCTCCTGCCACCTCTTTTCTCCCCACCAGACATGGACCCAAGGGCTGCTGTGTCCACACCCTGGGCAACCGCTCACCTTTTGCCCTAGACCCGCGGAGGGAGAGGACAGATTTGGGCATTCCTAGCAGACATCTCATGGGTCCAGGCCCTGGTACCCTCCCCCACACAGGGCCCAGCTGTCATACGAAGTCAGGGTTTGAGTGGCTTTGGGAAGCTCCAACCAGACAAGGGTGGGAAGAAAGCAGAGGCAGGGGGAGGTGCCGAGAGCAGGCCAGGCCCCTCTCCGGAGGGCAGCCGCAGAGTGCAGGGAGGCGGGGAGGCAGAGAGGGCTAAGTATTGCTTGTACAGAGCTGGTGACTGTGGCAGTCTAGCTGAGTCCAGAGCCAGGCTGTCCGTGAGGCCAGGAAGCTGGAGCCCAGGTGAGTCTGAGCTCCCAGACAGGGACCCTGGTCTGGAAATGAGCAAACAAAGAGAGACCCAAATGATCGACCTCACGCAGCTAATCCCCAAAGGTCAGACAGGATTCTCAACAGTGGCACAGGGCAGGTCAGCCCCAGCCCTCCTCATTCCAGCAACAGCCCCACCCTCAGCGCTTCCTCCACAAGCCAGGCCCCACCGGGATGCAACCCGAGGGGGACAGGGCCACCCCCAGGGCCTGGAGAGCACACAGGTGCCTCAGGGACCATCTGCTTTGGCAGAGAACATCCCCCCTGAGGCCAGCCTCCAGGGTGTCAAGACCCTCCAAGTCCACACCTCCTGGGGTCCACTGGGAGAGCTCCTTTGGCATGTTGGAAGCGAGGAGGAGGCTCGGAGGAGGACAGGAGGTGAAGAACAACGCTAAGGGAGGTGCCCGCACTTCCCTCTAAGGGGCCTGGCCAGCCACCCTGGGAGCTAAGTCTTCCTAGTGTTTCGCTTGTAGGAAGGAGGCGGCTCCTGCCGAAGGGAGGAGACGATCTCCAAGCCCTCAGCTTCCCAGGCATGTTCCGCTCCCCCGGCCCCCGGCCAGGGCACTAGATGAGCATGCGACATGCTGCAGGTGCATTCGGTAGGAAGAGCTGCGAGAGCACTCGGTGGGGAGGAGGGTGTCGGGTCCCCGAGGGGCCTCAGTGTGGCCAGCTGCAGTGGGTGCTACATTCCTCAAAATAGAGCAGCGGTGCTGGGAGCACAGGTGGGACAAAGGACGAGACAGAAAACTAAGCAGGGACCAGCAAAAGGCGGCCCGGACAGGGACACGTGGGCTCTGCCCCGGGCACAGGACCAGGCAGGGTGGATGGGTGGCCACATTCCCCGCTTCTGCCCCTGCACTCGGGGATCCGCGCCCACACAACACTCCTTTGGGTTTCTTTTCAACAAGACACACAGAGATGTGGATTTTAGCTCATGTAGTCACCAAGACTGGCTATACCCAGACACGTGAACAGACAGAACATGGTCACACACACACACACAGACACGCACGCACACACTAGTCTCCGCTGCCAGTTGGGGTGGGCCCAGTAGCCGACAGGCATGCAGCAGGGCAAGGGGTCCAGAGAGACACGAAGGCTATGTACAGGGGGCGGGGAGGGGGCATCAGGCACCCCTTCCCACACTGTATCCCGGCCTCTTCTGAGGTCCTTAGGAGCACGAGGGGCTGGTGGCACTCTCCAGGGAGGATTGGGACAGGCGCCTGGTGAGGGATCCAAGTGTCGAGTCTGCCACTGAGGACGTGGGGAAGAGTTTGTACCAGCCCGTGACCGCAGCACTCAGGTCCAGCTCGTCCAGCATGATCTGGGCCATGCCCATGAAGCATTTGTGGTCCATGCGGCCGTAGTCTCCCCAGACAATCACCTGCGGGGGAGGGGGTGGGAAACGGGGGGCGCTGAGCCAACTCCCCGACTTCAGGGCTCAGTAGTGGACCCAGGAACCTACAAGCCTCACCAAAGCACAGATGAGGCAGAAAGAGCCGGAACCAAGACTGATTTGGGGGCAACAGCTTACTGAGCACTGAAGACAGGCCAGCCTCCATTGTACAGACTTCTCTCCATTATCTCAACCATTACAACCATCCAGGTAAAGGTGCTACGTATCATCATTTCAACAAAGAGGCAACAACAGCTCAGAGAGGTTAATTAACCCAAAGATACACAGTAATTGGTGGCAGAGCTGGGATCAGAACCTGGGTCTGACTTCCAGAGCCTCCCAGCATCCCAGATGGCAGCCTTCCCCACGAAGAAGCAGACTGAAAGAGTCTGGGACCTGAGTCACAGCTCCTAGTCTGCTGCTGGCTAATGGCGGAGCTTGGGGAGACCCCTGGCCCTCACTGGACCTCAGTGTTCCCAACCAGAAAACTGGAAGAGGGGAAGAGACTAGCCCAGTGATTTTCAAACTTGTATTTTTATCAGTGGATCCTTTTCTCAAAATGGAATCCCAATATATATGTATATATACATGAAAACAGACACCCAGGATCCTCCCTACCCCCAAAGAACCCCAGGGTTCTGCAGTCTGGCCATTTGCGACCCCAGGGGCCCTTGCCACGCAACCACCTCAGCCAGAGGAACAGCCCTAGATGAGTAGTTACACAGCCCAGACAGCCCCTGGCTCAGGCCTCTCCTCTGCCACCCATGTGGCCTCAGGCAAGGCCACCAGCCACAACCACCACTAATACTCTGAGAGCAGCTGTCTATGGGCCAGGCACTCAGTGAGGCCCTCCACGTGCATCCCTCATTTACGCTTCACAGCATACCGCCCACGGACCATGATGGAGCTGGAACTTGAACCCAGGACTGAACCCAGAGACCAGCCCCCACTTAGCTTCTTGCTAAGCACCTCAGGTGCTTCATCTGTGAATGGGCGTGATGATCCCTCCCTCGCGGGACTGTTGTGAAGGGCACTGCACTCTCTCGGAGTTGGGGTGGCGTCATTTGGCCTGGGTCACCTGGGCTCTGCAAGTCGCTAGCTGAAACCTCAAGTGAGTCACTTCACCTTTCTGAGACTGCAAGATGGGGAGAACATACCTACTTCACAGCATCATCTGGAGGCTGAAAGGAGGTCAGGATTGGAAAGCCCTTCGCCCAGAGCCTGGCACGGAGCTGATGCGCAGTAAGCATTAGCACCAGGCGGAAAGAGAAGGCGGTGGTCAAACGCTGCTTCTACCTACAAGCTGAGCAACCTGGGGTTGGGGGGGGCAGTGGACTTATCCCCCTGAACTCTGGTGTCCTTACAAATCAACCAGGGGCAAAAAGCCCTCACTGGGCTGTGAAAACAAACGGGTCATGTGCATTAATGCACCTGGTACAGTGCCTGGCACAGGATGCATCACACATGAAAGAGATTTTAAATTACAACTTGCAGTTTTGGGGAGTCGTCCTGCCCCAGGGGCCCCGTAGCACTCACCTGCAGCACCTTGCCCTGGGGCCCCTCATCGAAGAGCAGAGCCTGCTGGTACAGGGGGTCACAGGTCTTCTTGGCCACCTTTGTCTTCTTTTTGGTCAAGCAGGCCCCGTTCTCAAGCAGGTAAACCTTGATATAGGTGGCTGCGGGATGGGAGAAAGCATGCTGGGGAGGGGTCCAGGAGAGACTGCTATGGCCTGCTCCATCCCCTAACGTCCTGCTGCTCCTGGAGGTGAGCAAGGTGAGTGGGATGAGCTGACCAGTGGAGAGCAGTAGAAAAGACGGGCTCAAACACTGACTTGTCCATCCTCCCCTCCCCCCAACCCTGTCCACTGGCCTTCCGGGCCAGCCATGACTCCAGAGTCGAGAACACTGATCTAGGCCAATGGGCAGCTGAGGACACGCTAGACCCAGAGCTCAGTTGCGCACCCCTGCTTGTCAGGACCCCGTATCCAAAACCCCTCTCCCCGCTGCTTGGCCTCACCTGGGAGGGATTTGGAGCCTGGTTTGGGGGTCAGGCCCCGAGCCTCAATCACTTCCACCTCTAGCTGGCCACTGCGGTCCATGATGGCAATGTGCACGTCCCCTGCAAGGGAGAAAAGGAACCGTCCAGGCAGAGGCAGAGCCGGGGCGGGCCGGCCAGCTGCTGTGCAGAGCACAGTCTGCAGAGGGCGCTACAGTGCTGGAAAGGGCATAACATGCAAAAGACTGCTTGCGCCAGAAAGGCTCTCCAGAGGCCACTTGAAAGCAGGGGAGAAATACTTTGATAGGCCCCTGGGGCAAGGGCAGAGGCATGACCCTCAAGGGGCATGCTTGCGTAGCAACGAAAGGCTGCCAAACTCCCAGTAAGTCCCAGTGAACTGGGGGGCTCCCGTCTTACTGAGCAGAATAGCAGCCCTCGGCCACTCCCCAAATATTTACAGACTCTCCTTTTGAAAAGATGCCGAGATAGGAGCCTGCGCAGGACAGGAGGCATTGCCTGGGAATTGGGGCCTGTTCGCACCCCGGCCAAAGGCTGCAGGGAAGGCCGGATCTCCTGGAAGCAGAGAATTGAGAACTTCTCACTGCGCTCCCACAAACGATTACCTCACTGAGGCAAGTTCTGTATGAAGTCATGTCAGTTATTTCTAGAACTCTTAGCTTTGTTCAACATCAGTTAGCGGAATTTGAGATTATGCATTAGTCACTTGGAGCATTCTTCAAAGGAATGCAGCATCATAAGCCTGATGCAGAGAAATTAAAATTGGCCAGACTTTGGGTTCAGCCACCCATTTTAGATACTCTGAGCTATCATGCAGTTGTTTGTATTTGCATACTTGGGAAGATGGGGATTTATTACTTTCAGGAAACATCCTGGAAGTCATCACCCTCCCTCTAGCTATTTCTGACCTCCCCGTGGGGAGGGAAGAGGGGAGGTCTCACTCTAACATCCCTAAGGAGTTGAGCAAAGGCAAGCCTGTCCTTCCCACTTCTAGACACGAGGAGGCACCACACACAAGTGTTCTAGGCTGGGAAGGCCCAATAGCCTTGTGGAGGTGGCTGGCTCCTCTCACTGCCTCCCAGTCCCTGGCTGGGCCTAGGGCTGGGAAAAGCAAACTCCGCAGGCCCTTAAGAGCCTGTGAGCAAGGGCTGAGAATTAGCCAAATCCTACCCCAGGGCCAGAGGAGAGCTGGTGCTCACCCTCTGAGGGTCCCCGCGGACAAAGGTGTCTGTGGAAGCATGTCTGAGAAAACCAAAGCAGTGCAGTGGGAAGAGTACTGGCCTGGGAGAGAAACCCAGCTCCAGTGCAGGGCTCGCAGCAGGGCACAGTCTGAGCCCCGCTTCCTCATGTGCTGTGAGGTCGAAGGTTGAACACTGTTCCAATGAGGACTGAGTCCAGATGCCTGGGGGCAGACTGCTCAGGTCGGACTGATGGGGAAGGGGGAGAGGCAAGGGGGCATCTCTGGGGAAGCAAGTTCCTGGGAGGAGCCCCCAGAGCCAACACAACTAGTATCTAAGACAGAGGGAGAGAGGGAGGGAGGCGGGAGGGAGCCAGAAGTGCAGCTGAGAGGACCGAGTAGAGACCCAGGAAATAGGTCCCAGTTGCAGGGAAGGGGGATGAGAAAATTATTTAAAAGGCTTTTAGGTGCCAGGCAGGTAGAAGTAACAAGTCCAATAAGACACAGTTCCTCAGGAGTAAAACACTTCATTCAAAGCATAGAATAGGAACTCGATGAATTGTTGTTAGATTGCAGAACTAAGGCAGGGATTCTCTTTCCCATTTTACAGATGAGGAAACGGAGGCTCAAAGAAAGGGAGTGACCTGCCCAAGGTCACACAGAGCACCAGGGGTAGCACAGACTCCCTGAACATCAAAGCTGTGCCACCTCTGGTTCACTGTCTACACTGAGCAGGTGCTTGGCACCGCCAGGCGTGCAGCTGGTGGTGGGAGAGTGGGTGGGCATGTGGTGAGGGCGGTCCGTGCTGTAAAGCCGCTGCGGGGTAGCCCGCAGAGCAACGCTGGAACCCCTGTCCTCTCTGAAGAGGGAGGGACCTCGGAGGGCCCGGGCAACTCCTTCTGGCTGGCGCAAAAGCCAGAGTGAGGGCTCCTTTCTGCAGCTAGCCCTGTGTCGCAGGGGGCCCCCACGGAGCTCACCCCTTCCGTGGCGTGGCTGCCATCACCCCACTCGCTCGGCCCTCAGGAAGACTCACCCATCGGTGGCGTTGCCAATGTCTGTCGCCCCACAATCTGGGCTGGCCCCAGCCCATCCAGGAAATCACTGAACTGGCTTTCAGCCCCAAGCCGAGTGGTGGGGAAAATGAACCTGGAGGAAGATGCAGAGGGGCACATGAGGTGGCCTGGGTGGTGAGATGCAGTGGCTCCGCCCCGTGGACACTGGGCCATGCCTCTCTGTGCCTCAGTTTCCCCTCTCCATAGCACGAGGGCCCTGCTTTAGCTGGGGACAAACAGAACTCTTCATCTCTGCACGTTAAATAAAAATACTCTGATGTCCCTTGAGAAATAGTAAACATAATAATGTTATCTAATCCTCAAGCACCAGGATTTTTGAAGGTGACCCTTAAAAGGCAGGGCTTGCGGGACACCTGTGTCCTCCCCTGGGGATACGAGCGCCAAGAACCAGAAACATAGGCCAGAAATTTCGATGCCTGGAGCAAGTTCTAAGAACTGAGGTTTAGTTGACCATATGTTTGGAATCCAAGTCGATAACGTGAGGTGGTGCCCAAAACAGCAACCGAGACCAAAATAACACAATTGCAGGGTTGAGATAAAAGGCGAGCGATGGTGGGTGGTCCCTAGTTGTGGGGCCTGGAAACAGTAGCGAGCAACACTGATAGTGATCGAGAGCTGGGCGGGCGCCAGCAGCGCACCAAATGCTCCTCACGCGTCTGAGTTCATTCCTGCCATTCTGTGCAGCGGGAGCTACACTGGTCTTACAGATGAGAAAACAGAGGCTTCGAGAGGTAAGAGACTTGCCTTGACTGTAAAACAGTGATGCAATGCCCACCTTGCAGGGTTATGGTGGCAATTGGGGCAGCTGGTGCATGAAACGTTCCAGACAAGCAGGACACAATAAAATGGTAGTTATGATGTTGCTGCTGTGAACATCGAGGGCAGTGCCCCCCCTTATGCGCTCAAGGTACATGTTCTGGGGGTGGCCAGCAGAGAAAGGACCAATGGGGGAGGGCGGACCCAGCTCTGCTCGGGGGGGCTACAACGGACCAAAGTTCTAAGACCTCCTAGAATAGCCCAGGTATCTGGCCTGAGAGATCAGACTCTCCCAGAACGACTCCCCACTTGGAAAGTTGGGCTTTGAGTCCCCTATGGCCAGCGACAGGCAGGGAGAAAGACGGGTTGCATACACTTGTCAAAGAGGGCCTGAATTTCCCCAACAAGGCTGGCCTCCACTCTGCGGGAAGGGGCTTCGAGGCCCACCCACTCTTACTGGCCATCAGCAATAACCCCAGCCTGCACTCTGAAGAAAACCTGAGAAGGTTAAATAAGGTCACGGACTCTCAAGGTCACAGAATTTTAGGAGCTTGGTCTAGAGAGTGTAGAGGTTGTGAACAAAGGCTATAGAGTCAAATGGCCTTAATTCAAACCCTGACTCCACCACCACTGAACAGGTGTGACCTTGGGTGGGTACGTCACTCTCCTCCCATGCCTCAGTCTCTCCACATGGAACATGGAGATCATGGTAGTACCGACATCCCTCAGTGTTAAATGAGACACTGTTTTTGGTCTGATGGTGACTGGTAGATCCCAGAGTAAGAAGCACCCATCTGAAGTGCCTAGTGACGCCCTGCATATGCAGTAAATGCCCCTGGCCATTTGCATTCATGGAAGTGGGCACAGTAATGAGACACAAGATCACAGAATCCTAAATAATAGAGCCACAGGGCCCTGCTATCAATGGACTTTGATGAAGCCGAACCAGAAAATCTTAGTCGTATAACCAGCTTCATAGATTTGGGAGCAACCAAGGGAATATCTAACCTAGTGACTTTTTTTGAATTTTTGACTGCAACTCCCATGCAATGGAAAAAATATATTTAACATCATAGACCTCTGTGCATCCATATATTAAAAAATCAAAACAAAAGTTCACAAGGTAATTCATCCTCACACCACAGGATATGTTTGAAATTTCTATTTCTTTCCCTAATGCTGGTTTTGACCCACTAAACTGATTTTACTTCCTGCCTGAGTCACCAACCACAGTTTGAAAAACACCGATCCAGTCCAACCTCCTTCTCTCAGCTCCATGCAAGACCACTTGTGAGAACTCCATTCATCTGAGCCGTAACAATTGTTTCAGATCGAAAAGGATTCTGGGTCCACATTTTCCTCCGGAGCCCTCTCGTCTGAGGGCAGTGTGTAGGTGCTTGGGGCTGGGAGGCATGAAACATACAGATGGGATGCACTGCCCCTGGGGCCGCTGGGGGGTTTGGATGGGAAACAGCAGCCCGGAGCAAGAGGAAGACTGGGCGCAGGCAGCGGATGTCCACGGAAGGCAGGGATGCAGAGGAACCCAGACATCTGGACCCGAAACCCAGCCGGAAAGATTTCCCCGCCCTGCCCCCCGACTCTGGGACTAGAGGACCATGCGGGAAGGTGGGGACCAGAGTGGACATGGGCTGCACGCACGTGCCCTCGGAGCTGTTGCTGTTGGTGCTCCCATCTGTGGACTCCCGGCTGCCCTGGCGTGTGACCCGACTCCGCATCTCCACCGCGATGCCCGTCTCTGTGCTCCGCCGGATGTTGCTGCGCAGCTTCTTGGTGGCCCCTTCTGGGACCCCCGAAAACATAGAAAGGGAACAAGGTCAGATCAGTGATGAGGCTTCTGTGGGAGTGCTGCCAAGGTCACCTCTTGGGATGGGGCAGGACAGGCAGGGCTCTGACTGGAGGCAGGGGCGCTGCTGAGCCGGTCTGCACAGTGACAGGGACGAAGACTAGAAAGATGGCTGGAGGCAGAGCATCAGGATGGTGGGGCTGTGGGATGGGAAGTCACCAGGTGCAGCCCAGCCCTGCAGCGTTCACCTTCATCCCTGCCAGGCTCCCTGATGGCCACCTTCCCAACTCAATTCCAGACTTTGCCCCAAATGGAGAAAGTGTTCCTTTCTCTTGTGGAAAGGTTGCTTTCTCTGGCATTCCCAGATTTGCTTTCCCTCTTCCAGGTACCCTCATGAACCCTATCACACCCGGACCTCACGCTCCACCTCTGTGATACCTTCATAGGCCAAATAAAACCCCCATGGGAAGCTTGGCCACTCTCAAACCAACCTGTATTCTCAAGGTGGGTCTGAATGTGGAGGGGGGATGTGTGTGGAGGGGTGCAGAGGCCATTAGGGAAGCAAGATTGAGAAAGACCACTAGGTTGACCTGAACTGACCTTGGCTTTGAGAGAGAGGTCTGCAGAAGAACCCCAGAAACCATGTGGTGAGAACTCACTCCGTGCCTCTGTATCTCTTGTTTGGAGGGCCCTCTACCCTCACCCCAGCCCCCCTCTTGAGCCTTGCAAGGAACATGGGGCACTTTGCCTCTCCTAGCAGCACACCATCCTGCCTGGGTTTCCATGGCAACCTCCTCAGCATTGCAGCGAGGTCCCCCTAGACACCCTCTCCTCCTGGGGGTGGGGGGAGCAGAAGACGGGTTGAACTGAAGGTTTGTAGGCCTGCCCCTGCTGAAGCTTCACTGCCTGAAGAGCTTGATAGGAAGGGAAGGTGGCATCACCATAAGGACTGTGCCAAAGGAGCCACTGGTTAGAGGCCTGGGCAAATTAAGAGTGGAATTGCCACCAGGGCTGAGGAGGCTGGGAGGGGGGCTGGCAGCACAGCCTCCAAAAGCAGTGGGGAGCGGGGAGCTGGTTATGCTGGCAACCCCCTCTCCGGGCCACACCCAAATGGTGGGTTGGGGAGACATTGTTCAAAATGCCAGCCTGAGAAAGGGGGGGGCTTCAGTCTCCCTGCTTCATCCTACTTACATTTCAGGAAGTCCCACCAGGGGGAGGGAAGGCTGAGAGGGCCGGCCTCACCAATGGATGGGATGGGAGGACTGGGGGTGGGGATGGGCCGGTGGTGAGGAGGAATGTCTTCTCTGAGGCCAGCCCAGCTTCTGGGATATTGGAATAGCTACTATCCACAAGTCAATGAGACCACTGATATGTCTATCAGTCTGTCTGTCTCTCTCTCTCTCTCTGTCTCTCTCTCAAACACACACAGAATCACTTTAGCTGATACGTATTTCTTTCACACAGGCATAAGCAGATACACATGAGTGCTAACAATCACATATATGAGTACAGCGATCTCCCACACCAGGTCATGTATATTCATATAATGGGCACACAGTCACAAACAGTCCTACTAGGTCTTAGTCACACATATACGTGACACACTGCCACATACATGTGACCGTCACACCATAATACCTGATTGAACCCCTCCACTTGATCACACACAGAGATACAAACTCACAAACAGTGTGTAACCCACCACACAGAGGACTGGGCAATGATGGTGGGCATAGGGGGCTCACCCTATCCCTGGCTCCTAACTGCCACATCCCCTCTAACCCAGTTAGGAGACAGATGGGTCTGTGGGAGCTGCACTTTACCGTCCCCCATATCTCCCCTCCCCGACAACACACACTCCGAGCTGAAGCCAGAGCCTCACCACCCCATGGCCCCAACCCTCCTCTCCTAGACCCACTTGGGAGTAAATTTACCTTCTTTGACCTACCCAGTGCACTGTGATCCCCTGGGTAGGGGTGTCACAGAATCCTGAAGTATTAGAGGCACCTCGCTAGCCCCCCACTGCCATTCCACAGATGGGGAGCCTGAGGTTCACGTGCTCACAGGGCTGGGGTCAGACCCCAAGCCCACACTCTCCTGGTCTACTGATGGCCTACTTTTCACTCCTCTCCATCAAGTCCATATTGGTTTGAGAAGTGATTCAGCAGATATTAAGTTCCATATCTTCTGGGTGGGGAGAAAGCTCTTGCAGCTTCAGAGAAAATTCATCTATTGGTTTCATTCTTGTCCAGTCTGAACTCTGTTGGTCTGGGAGTAACTTCATGTAAGCTCTCTCTCTCTAAAGAACGGGGCCAAGTTGCTTGCAATAATTCTGTGGTGCCTGGAGACTGAAAGACTCCAGGAACCATCTCATCTGTCCCACCACATACAAGGGAGAGGCAGAGCCTTCAGCGGCACTGCCCATGGCATCTCCTGGAATGGTCCTGAACCCTCTCCCCAGAGCCCAGAGCCCAGGTGGGAAGGGCTGCTGTCCCTGGTACTGAAATGATGAGTTTCATTTGGGCAGAGACTAGAATGGCCCAGCCTAAGGCCAGGCCAGAACCTACCTATTTCCTGAGACCCTAAAGCTCTGACCCTACCCTCGTCATTGCTCCTACAACTTAGAGAATGTTAGATCTAGAAGGAAGCTGGGAGATGAAGACTGTCTTTATAGCTACATTTTACAGAAGAAGAAATTGAGACCCAGAGAGAATATGACTTTCCCAAGGTTCCCATGGGGAGTTAAAGAGCTAGAACTAAACTCTAAAGTTTCAGAGTGAGTTTCTAGAAGGCCACTTGAGTTAAATGTGAGGAATAAACTGGAAGGGGCAGGCATGAGGCAGGGGAACTAGAGAGGAGGCTGGGGCAATAGTCCAGGCTAGATATCACACAGCCTAAACTAAGACAGAGGCTTTGAAACAAAGAGGAGGAGATGGGTGGTGCTGGAGCCAATACAGAGTATGGACAGACCATGAGGAAGGAAGCCCCTAGAGGGGCAGACCTAGAGCTCAGAAGATTGGGTCCCAACTTCACATAGCCCAGCCCTGCAGGGATTCTAGCAGGGAACTGAGCCATCCCATCTGGGAACAGCAGGAACACCCTGCTAGGATCTTTTCCCAGAACAGAGTTTCCCGGGCCAGTGCCCATGGTGAGTCAGCCCATACATCCCTCTGGGGCCAGACTCTCCTACCCAGGATGGGGCTCCAAGCCAGGACACTGGCAACCTCAAGGCTGGGGAGAGGTGTATGCTATAAGCAAGGGGGCAGAGCTGTGGGGGCTAGAGAACTCACTTCTTATTTGGTCCTACTGTGTGACCATGGCCAATAATAACACTGACAATTTACTAAGTATCTACTACGGACCAGGCATGAGGCTGGGTGCCTTTGCATATCCTATCTCATGTAATTCCCTGGACAACTCTGCAAGGCAAGTATCACTGTCCGTATTCCACAATCAAGGAAGCAGACTCAGAGAAGTAAAATAACTTGCCTGAGTCACCCAACTAGCAAATGACAGGGTGTGGCTCAGAAGGCCAACTTGAAGTTGTTCTCCAGGAAAGTGCCTTCTCCTCTCAAGGCTCAGACGACTCATCAGTAAAATGAGTATATCGGACTAGATGATCCCAAGGGGCCTTCCCTGCTCTCACATTCACAGAGACTTTCAGTTAAAAGGACATCTGGGCCGTTCACCTGGCTCAGGCCCCAGGCCTTCAGTTGTACCCTTGCATACTATGGAGACAAATGATCCTGAAGCCCTATTGTCATTCATCTCCCCTTGAGGCTTCAGGTCTTCTTGGTGTCTATTCCAATCCCTGCCTGCTGACTGTGGGTCTGGGTAGGTGGACAGCCCCAGGCTGACCACCAGAATGTCTCCCACTGACTCAGGTCCCAGCCTGGGCCTTGGAAGACTGTCCAAATCGCTTGGGCATGAAGAAGCCTTTGGGTCTGAAGCTGAACCGGGTAGATTCAGCTGGAGATTAGCAGGGTTTAGACTCCTGAAGCCACACTCCTGGGGTCCAATACCTCCTCAACCTAATCTTAATCTCCAAAGCTTAATCTCACCCCTTGGTCCTGTACCAGCCCAACTCCTGGATCCACTATCTCCCTGACTCCCTAGTACTGGGCCTAAATTGCACATTTACAGAGGCCATGCCCATCCTGGGGCACAGAAAACCTTCAGCCCCCTCCCCATCCAGCATTTCCCTGAGCCAGAAACCACATCGCAGCTTGATAGCTGGAAAAGACCATCCCACGTGCTCCCGTGAAGGAAGGGCTTTGTAAAAATCTATTTTAAGGCCTGGAAAAGTCTCCCACCCTCAGCCCCAACTGGGAGTCTTGATGAGCATTCTCTCTGGATCCTCTGGTGCCCCCACCCCCTCACCGCCCCCATCCAGCTGCCCTATTTGAAGGTTTCCTGGGGAAGTTGTTACTCTGAACAAAATAAGGAGGAAGAGATTTTAAAACAAAACCAGCTGGTGTCTGGGCTGATGCCACAAAGTGAGGAGGTCTTGGGGGGGGGCTGGCTCTTTTGTGATGTGGGGTCCCGTGTGACTGTGTGAGACAAAGTGGGTCACCCACCAGTCTGAGCATAACTGGCATTCCAAAACTAGGTGTCTGAGAAAATACACTTTTCCAGATGTAGCTGTTAAGGTGTGTGTGAATCTGGATTCACGGGGTATGTGCACATAGGAGCGCAGCATGCTTCTGTGACCATGGGCCATTGTGTGCGCATGTGTAACTACGCTCTGGGTCTGTGCATTAGTGTGCAGAGGGCTGTGATTTGCACGACTGGCTTTATTGTGACCACGAACAGTGTGAATGGCTGTACTATGCTTTCTTGGCAGTAGGGGTGGCTCACCTGAGCAACGGGGCACACTGTTTATGTGACTATGCAAGGTGTGTCTCTCTTGTGACTTGGAACGTATATGTGTAACTGTAACTACATTCGGGTGGCTGTTTGCACTTGGGAAACTCAGAGAACACAGGTGAGCCTGAATCCTGTGGAAGTGCGTCTGTGAAGTTGTGTCACTTGTCACAGAGCCAGGAATACGACGGCTGGTTCATAAAGCATCGATGATGAATGTGTAAGTCCGTGCATGGAGGCAGGAGTGTAAAGTTTAGGAGCATGAACCCAGAAGCCTGGCTGCTGGGCTTTGAATTCAGGCTCCACCAGCCCACTAGCTATGTAGTTTGGGGCATCTTACTCCCCATTCTCTGTGCTTTTGTATCTGCCTCATGGAGTTTGTGGGAATTCCATGAGTCAGGACATGGACCGGACCCAGAACAGCACGTGGTATTTGGTACGTGCTCTAGAAGTATCTGTGGGTGTGACGACCTTCCCTGGGTGCCCTGTCATGGCAGGGTGCCACAACCCAGGCCCTCCGAGTCCTATGCCCTCTCACCAGACGGGGGCGGCTGCAGCGTGCTCTTGCTCCACTGGGTCAGGCCCACGATGGCCACCATCTTGGCCCCAAGGCTGCTGCGCCGCTTCTTGGCCGTGGTGGTCCCGGTCCCACCCCCAGCCTGCTGGGGGCCGCAGATTTCACCACTGATGCTGGAGCTCCGAACCACATTCCTGGAGGCCGTGGCCGAGGCCGGACCCGGCTCCCCGTTAAACATGGTCCGAGGGACGGCAAGGCCTCAGGCAACGCTGTAGGGGAGAGCAGGAGACAATGGGGTCCCACATCAGGCCCTGGAGCCACTCTACTGTAGCCCATTGCTTCCTAGCTGTGTAACCTTGGGTCAGTCACTTGGCCTCTCTGAGGCTGTGAGGATTAAATGAATAAATAAAGGTAAAGAGTGTACCCAGCGTCTGGCTCAATAAATGGTACCATTCTTATGAGCATATGGCTGTCCTGGCAAGTGACCTGGTCTGGCAGTCAAGGCAGAGGCTGTGGAGTCGTTCGGCCCACTCTTGAATTCCAAAGGCCTCTACACACTGGCTGTGTGATCTTGTGACCAAGCACCTTGGGGCTTCAGTGAACACCTCAGCAAAATGAGAAATAAAAGCACTTACCTCACAGGATTGTTGTAAGGATTAAATTAGAGCATGTGAAGGCACCTAGAACGGTGTCAGGCATGGAGTAAATATTCAGTAGGTGTGATTACTTTCATAGCCAATAATAAGAACAGGGAGAGCAAAAGTGGCCCCAGCCTCGGGGGACGACGGAAGGGGACCTCCTGCTAAATGGGACAGCACAGAGAAGTATAAAGGAGCAGGCACGAGTCACCCTGAAGCATACCACAGAGTGGCAGCCTCTGGAGGTGTTTTAACCCTTTTCCCTCCCAGGGTCTTTCCTATCTATGCATTTTAAAAAATAATTGAACTCATACTGCAAATACAATTTTACATCCTGGTGTTTTTCTTTTTCTTTTTTTTTTTTTAAGATTTTATTTATTCATTTGAGACACAGAGATACAGAGAGAGAGAGAGAAAGCATGAGCAGGGAGAGCGGCAGAGGGAGAAGCAGGCTCCTCGCTGAGCCAAGAGCCTGATGTGGGGCTCGATCCCAGGACCCTGGGATTATGACCCAAGCCGAAGGCAGACGCTTAACCATCTGAGCCACCCAGGCGCCCCGATCCTGGTGTTTTTCATTTAACATCAGATCACGAGCATTTCCCAATGTCATTAGTATGTTTTAATATATGGTATACATGTTTTAATACCACCATAATATTCCATTGTATGGTGGTAGCATAATGGACTTAACTATTTCAATGCAGTGACCTCTTAGATCAGGTCCGACTTCTTCCTCTCTCTCCTGCCTTTTATTTATTTTTTTTAAAGATTTTACTTATTTATTTGAGAAGGAGAGAATGAGAGACAGAGAGCACGAGAGGGAAGAGGGTCAGAGGGAGAAGCAGACTCCCCGCTGAGCAGGGACCCGGTGTGGGACTCGATCCCGGGGCTCCAGGATCATGACCCGAGCTGAAGGCCGTCGCTTAACCAACTGAGCCACCCAGGTGCCCTCTCTCCTGCCTTTTAAACAACACTGCAAAAAACATGTTTCTACACTGCTTTGATCTGCTTCTTTCCTTAGGATTGATTCTCAGAAACAGAGAGACTGGGCTGGGTGTGGAGACTGCTGGGCGCCTCCCCAATGTCCACTCTCCCTTCCTGCTTCCTGGCAGAGTGCTGGTTTGGTCAGGTACCACCCATCCCATTTCGGAGGTAGATCCAGATTAGCTCAAGCCAATCAATGAGTGGCACTCACCTTGGTAACTAGTACTGGTCCGAGGGCAGGCCTATGATTCAGTTGGCCCCATGTGACTTAAGGGGAAGATTTGGATTCCATGCTTTTCGGAGAGGTGGGGTCTCCCTCCCCCACTTCATCCCTCAAGACCCTTCCCCCTAGGGAGGGCCCAGTCCTAGGAGGAAGCCAGCATCGCTGAGTGCCACAGAACAACGGAAAGGACCTCAAGCCATGCCAGAGCCTGCCTTTTTCTGGCCTATCCAGTTATGCAGATAATGTGCTTACACCAGTTTGAATCAGTGTTCTTCGTTACATCCCAAAGCATCCCACCTGATACCGAGGACATAAACATTTCTTTGATTCTTGGAAGATATTGCTAAATTCCTTCCAAAGCTGCATTCAACGAATATTTAAGCCCCTAAAATTCCAAGACCTAGGCTGAGTGCCAAGGATATGGCAGTGAGCCAGGCCAACGTGGTCCTGCCCTCCCAGAGCCTCCAGTCCAGGAGGAGAGACAGACAGTAAGTCACTGATTATGTAATTAAATATTAAATCTGATGAGCACAAGGGAAGAAAGAGGGCATTGGGAGCCACTTCGGGGGAGCAAGGGAGCAGGGCAGCAAGCGTCTATGGCTTGGTTTTGTACAGAGGCAGGATCTCCAGCTGTCGGCCTCTACATCTTGGCTCAAAGTCCAGTACAGCAGTGGGTGTCCTCCGCTCACAGTATAGGAAAAGTGGTGCTCCGGCAGGCTCTGCCTGTAGCCCTTCCCAGCTCTGTCCCCGGCTACAGAGCTCTTACCAGGGCAGCTCCGCATCCCAGGGCTCAGGTCACTCTGCTTGACCATCTGCCCTCAGGCCTGTCACCCTGAGGGTATCTGACTTCAAAAGGACAGAGTTGAAGTGTGTGTGTGGGTGGAGGAGAATGAGGGAGAAGGGAAGGGGCCACTCTAGAGGATTCAGTCCCCAGATAGCTGCGAATGGTAGCCACTTGGCCTCCTGGTCAGCGCGGCTCCTGCCAACCAGGCAAATTGGGGCTGACAGTGGGGATGAGTCAAAGCTGTGTTCTCCCTCCTTTGTGGTTGTCTGGGCTGTTTTTGCGCACCCCGTGATATGTGCAGAGTCCCAGATTCTATTTCCCCATCCATCCCCCATTAACCTTGCAGCTAATGGAAAGTCCCCCTGGACTTGGGCCTATGATGATCTCTTCTCTTTAGTTTCCAAATCTAGTGCCAGTTTGTGTGTTTTTTGAGGTATCTGCATGGTCTTTTGGTGGATGGTGGGGGAGGGCTTACAGTATAAGCCTAATTTACTCGTTAAAGTATTTCTGTTAGGTGTGTGGTCATCTCCATGTCACAGATGAGAAACTTGAGTCTCCGAAAAGTCAAGGCCTTGCCCATCCTACTCAGCTGAGAAATGGCAACACCTGTACTCGAACCCAGCTCTCCTTTTCCCACAAAGATGCAGACACAGGGGCTCCTCGGTGGCTCAGTGGGTTAAGTGTCCTATTCCGGATTTTGCCTTAGGTCATGATCTCAGGTTGTCCTTGGGCTCCACAGCAGGGAGTCTGCTTGAGATTCTCTCTTTTCCTCTGCCTCTGCCCCGCCCCCCCACTCATGCTCTCTCTCAAAATAAATAAATAAAATCTTAAAAAAAAAAAAAAGATGCACACATGCTCAGCAGCTCCTGCTCCTTCAACCCAGAGCTCACCCAAAGGTGTGAGCCCATCCCTCCCTGGAACCCTCCCTTGCCAGGTCACAGGGACCTCACTCTGGAGTTCTCTCAGCCGACTCCCATCTACTACTACCACAGCAGCATCTACTACTATGGCTTGGATTTCCTGTCCAGGAACAAGGACTACTGTCCCCACTCCTGCCAAAGCTCCATGCCAGCAGAGACCTTCCAAGCTCCTCAAGGAAGGAGGCTAGCGTTTTCTTTCCAGCCATGGATATTTGGCCTCCACCCTGGAGTCTTAGTACACTAAGGGCTCTCCAAACCATCTCTTGAATCCTGACAACAGGGGTCTCAGGGCGCTGCCAGGCTACCCAGGCCCCTTGGTCCCTTTGACGATGTGTCTAACCAGATCATGAGCCTTTTTTTGAGCGTCAATGAGGCGATCAGAAAGCCCAAGATAAACCCAGCCACCCACCCTTTCAACAGGAGACAGCAAGGAATCTGTCACAGGGTGACGGTAGGTCCACCCACAACAGACATCACTAATCCATTTCTTTCCCATCAAGGCCAGATTTAACCTCAGAATCCCTCTCAACCAATTGGTGAGAACTGGCTCATAATTAAAAATAGATTCGCCGTCCCTATTCCAGCCTGAGTCTTTCATCTTGCAGAGTGGGACCTCAAGGCCCAGAATGGGAAAGAGACACACCCAGGGTCACATAGAACATGGGTGACAAAACCAGAGCTCTGATTCAAGTCTCCTAACTCTCAGGTCCCACATCACCTAGCAGGTGCTTCCTCCCCACTTTGAAGAAAACCCAAACTCACCAAACTGATGAGTCGGAGAGTGGTGTTCCACATCACAGGGGGCTGTGCCCCTCTCAACAGCACACCCCTAGGGCATTTACACGAGGCTTCAGTTAACTTCTGTCCAGACACCAGTTTTCAGGAAGGAGGTGAAGGCAATCAGGGTAGCTCCCACGAGGAGATGATGTGCTAAGAGTCTGGAAGGAAAGAGGGAAGTTTAGAGGAAGGGCTAGCGAAAACATTTGTCCTTAAGAGCTTCCAGTAGTTTATGGTGTAAAAATACTTTGGAGATAGCTGTGTGATGTTGAGCAAATTCATTTAAACTCTCTGATTCTGTTTCCTACTTTGTAAAACCGTCCCAACTCCTGGGTCCCCTAATCTGCCTTTTGGCACTTTAATGTCAAACTACTGTTGCTGAAGCCCCACACACAACTTTAAGACTTTTAACACATGAGGGACACATGGAGGTCCAACTGCTAAGGAGCTCTAGACCCTGTTCTTCCTTCCTCAGTCCTCCCCCTCACTGATGGGGTCTGTGTCCTTCCCCAGACTCTATGACATGCCCGGGGGCAGGAGGCGGGGTGGGGGGGAGTCCTGGCTCCACCCCCAGCCATGTGACCCTGAGCAAATCATTCAGCTTCTCTGAACTTCTATCTCCTCTTCTACGTGAGGAGTCTACTTGCCAGCTGGACCCAGCCCCACTCTCCAGGTGGACTGGGTGTCAGATGGGTATAATGAGGAGCAGGAAAACACTGTGATTAAAAACACAGGTTTTAGGGGTGCCTGGGTGGCTGAGGTCATGATCTCAGTGTCCTGGGATCAAGCCCTGTGTCCGGCTTTCTGCTCAGCGGGCAGTCTGCTTCTCCCTCTCGCTCTGGCTCTCGCTCTCTCTCAAGTGAATCAATAAAATCTTTAAGCGTGCACACACGCGCACACACACACAGGCTT